CGTCCAGCACACCTGGCTGGCTTAGTGGCTGCCCGCGCCCACTCGGCCTTGTCTCTCTGGCCAGCCTTTGCATCTCTGCCATCACCCCGGCTGCCCTGCCCCCCCGACATTGGCTTTCACGCACGAGGGGCCCCAGTGGGGGCCAGGCCAGGAGCTGAGTGCAGGTGGGCAGCGAGGCCCGAGCTTCTATTCTGGGGCAGCCTCGCCTACCAGACCCTCTGCAGTGGATGGGCAGACCAAGACACACCTGCCTGCTCCTTGTCACCAGAACAGCCCAAGACGGGGCTCCCCATCCCCCAGCTGACTGCTCAGGACAGACAACACGCTCTTCCTCACCTACAGACCCGCGCGTGGCCCAGTTGCTGGTGGGACGTCCTGGGGCCAGCCCAATCCAGACAAAACAGAAATGCCATCTGCCAAGTGACAGGGGCCGCCACCGCCTCTCTCACCCTCCCCAGCGCCCAGTGGACTTGGTCTTCTTATATCTGTCACTTCACGGGAGAGAGAGGGCCTCAGACAGGCAGGGTGACTTGCCTGATGTCACCCGGCAGAGCAGCCTGGAAGCCAGGTGGGTCGGGCCCAAGGCCACGTGTCACCCCTCTCTGTGGGCGCCACCCCGACCCCAGGCCTCCAGCTTCTGCAGACCCACCCAGCTGGCTGTGGAGGCCCCCATGCGACCTTCCAGGCTGAGCAGTGTCCCCTCAGCCTGGCCTCGGATTCATCTCACGCGAGCCACCATGGGGGACTTTTCATACCGTTCAGTGGGGTTAATCTTCAGAGCAACTCCGAGGAGGGCCAAGATTGCTACCCCACTGCACAGACGGGGAGACTGAGGCCCAGGGATGAGGGGGAAAGAGTCACATATAAAGAAGGCTCCTATGTGTAAGGCTCGATCTGCGGACTCTCCAGATCTTTCTCCCAATCCCAGGACGAATCCTGCGGTGCCCGCTCGACCTCAGGGAGACTGGAGGCTGGGAAGTGGGGAGAGGGGCCGGAGTCTGTTCCGGGGCTCCCCCAACAAGCCCGCGCTGCCTGCCCCGGCCCAGCAAGCCCCCATCCTCAGTCACTCTCTCTCACACGCCCCCCTGCCCTGCCTGGGACCTGGTGAGTCATGACCTCTGGGGCTGGATCAGGAATGAGGGTCTTATGACCCCCTAGAGAGGAGCCACTGATAAGCTTCAGTGACGGTCCCCAAACCCGATCACAGAATGAGCCCTGGGGGTAACGTTATGGACCCCATCTCCATATGCCAGCGGTCCCAGCCGAGGGAGCCCCAGCTCACGGACCACCCTGGACACAGCGAGAGTCCCCACCATCCTACGTCCCCTCAGAAGTCCTTGAACTGACAGTGGGTGACCCGGGGGCCCCCTGATTAACCCAGGGTCAAGGACTGCCCCGTCCCCAAGTCTCCCCCAGCCACCATCCCCTACGGTGAGCCGTCACAGCCCACCCCTCAGGAGCCGCCCGACTCGGAGGCTGAGACCCCCCAGCACACGAGGATCTCTACTGACTCGGACCTGCCCACGGCCCATCGCCCCCTCAAATGGCCCCCTCCCCACCCCCTCTCTTGCTGTGGCTCCCTCAGCCTCCCGGCACTGACCTCCAGACACAGTGCCATGCCTTTATTCATTCATTCATTCATTTACAAACGGCAGTTACTTGGTGCCCTCATTCATTCATTCCGTTACTGCATACCTTAGTTCACTCATTCATTCACAAAGTTACTTTGCCCTTATTCATCAGTTACACGTAGCTTCATTCAGTCATTCATTCGCCGAGTTACTGTGGGACCTGATTCATTCATTCATTCATCACAGTTACATGTGCTTGCCTCCATTCATTCATTCAGCCACTCATTCACTCAAAACCAGTTAGTGTGCACTTTCCTTCCTTCACTCACTCATTCATTCCCTCACAAACAGTTACTGTGTGCCCACAAAGTGCCGGATCTTCTGGGAGAACAGCTGCCTGCCCTCTGGGGGCTCACCATCTCAGGGAAGGCACATGTGAATCAAGTTCTCCCGGGTGGGGGCTGAGGGGACAGGGCATGGAGGAGGGGGAGGGAAGGGAGGCTCCAGGAGCACGTTTCAGCCGAGTCCCGTACGTTGAGTGGAGCTGGCCGGTGAGAAAGGCGGGCAGTCACAGTGAGCGACACACAGTGACACCTTCAAAGACCCTCCAGCAAGCGCCCCCCAGAGGGTCCTCACTCGCTCGGCGGCACCCCACCCCGGGACATGCTCGGTCTCCCCACAGCCTCCCGAGACTTCAGTCCACCCGTCCGATGTGCGCAGTTGTGAGCACACACGCACACACACACTCTCGCTCACAAACACCAACGTTCCTTAGTGTCATTCTCAGTTTCAAAATCTAAACCATCCACCGAATCCTGAAGGCCCCACACACCCCCTCCTACTTTAATTTCCCGAGACACAACCATGACCCTCCACAATGTTCTGTCCGGCATTCCCAATGTCAGCATCTCCCCAGGGCAATCTGCCAGAATCACGCCCCACAACAGAGACCCAACCCCACAGTGCGCAGGCCTCCTGGGCTCTCAGGGGCCTCCATAGAGACCCCACCACACTCATGGACTGTCCCAACAACTCGACATTCAAGCAGACTCCACGTAACCCATCCCCCGGGGCACCCTCTCCAGCCCTTTCTCCTGAAGACCCTCCATAAGGCCCCATGGGCACAGGCCTTGCCCCAGCCACCCCCACGCGCAGATCAGCAGATCCGGATTTGCAGCCCGGCTCCGGAAGACCCCGGGGCAGTTAATACTCCTCTCCCACCTTCAGTTTCCACTTCTGAGAAACAGAAACGATAACGGTCGATCTTACTAAATAAATACTCTGCAGAAAATGAGCGATTATTAAGTCTACACTGATGCAAATACCTCCCACTGGAGACTCAGCTTCTGCCAGGCCCTGTTTCAGAAGCTGCAGCCAGAGACGTGGCCAAAACCGTCATGTCTACTTCTCAGGGAGGCTGAGAATGAAAGGAGATCGGAAGGGGCGAGACTCTGGGGTCCCCCCTGCCGGGGAATGCCAGGGCTGTGGATCCCCTCATAAGCTCCTCTCTCACTTCACCCGTGATCTCCTCAGCACCCCAACCCGGCTCTGGTGGCTCCAATAAAAGCTTCAGACGTCCCCGAACACCCAGCTCTCTTGCACCCTATAAAGACCTGATCTCACTCCAGAACTTTCTCGAACTTCGGTACCCCCCCCAGACACCCCAATAATAACCCATGATGCCCCCCAAATAATCTCAAAGTTACCCAGCTGGAAAGTCTCATGACTCCCCAGCACCTTTGACCCCGATAAAGGCTCTGTACCACTCCACGACCTCCCAAGAGCCTGGAGATGGCTTCAGCAATAACCCCCAAATTCCAGCACCCCGCAGCCGCTTCTGATGACCCCAGAGACCAGCCTGTCACGTGTACCATGACCTCAGAGCCCTCCCACCCTGTCAGACCCCCCACAGTGGCTACCTCACACAAGAGTTCCCCATGGCCGCCCTAGACCCCCCGACGGCGACCACGTACCAGCCCGCGAGATCCCCAGCCCCCATGGGACCCCCTGGGACAGCCCGCAGTGACCCTATGACCTCTCTGAATTAGTCCCACACCCCCACAAAGCCTATCTGGTACAAGAGCTCCCCAGCGTCCCCTGGCCGCCCCAGGCACCCCGACGACAGCCATGTGCCACCCCGCGAGACTCCCAGCCCCCCCAGGACCCGGCGGACAGCCCCCCGTGACCCCATGACCTCCTGCGCCCTCAGCCCTCGGGGCCCGGCAGGCGCTCACCAGCGGCACCACCGATACTGGTGCTGGCGTAGGCCTTGTGGTGGCACTCGGTGCCGTCGGGGATGTCCCAGTACCGGTGAAGGAGCGTCCGCGCCATGGTCGCCCACCCACCGCTCCCACACTGCACACCCGGCAGGCTCCCCGCGCCCAAGGGCAGCCGCCGCTCGCTCTCGCGAGACTTCCTGGGCGGCGCGCGCAGCCTGCCTTGCAGATGGGCCGGCAACAAGCGCGCAACTTTATTGAGCGCCGCGGGCATAGACACAGGTCGCGCGCAGGCGCTGAGGTCCGGACAGAAGTAAAGGAAGAGAGCGTGCACCCCGGGCCGGTTTCTGGAAGGGGAAACTGAGGTCGACCGAGATCAGTGAAGCCAGATCTCGCTAGTTCCTGCTCAGGAGGACCTAGGTTAGGAAGGATTTGACTCCTGGAGGTGGGGCCTAATCTAGGGGCGGGACTATAACAGGTACTAGGCCTATCCCCATGCGCAGACGAGGGCGCAGGGCGGGACTCCACTTGATAGGAGGAAGACGGAATTGTGGGGCGGGACATGGCGGGGATGTGGCCATTCCCAGGGCCAGGATCTGTATGGGGGCGTTGTCACGCCCTGTGGCCCCTCCCCAAGACGGAGCCTGAACCGCGTGCGACTATTTGGGGGTGTGGCCAGGATCGGGGGCGGGGCTTAACGAGAAAGTGACCAATCCTAGTGCTAGGATCTTCACGGGACTTGGCCTGTGCCCAACTTGCTGCTTGTCTAAGACTTGCGCCGGAGGAAGTAAGCGCTAGGCTTGGGGGCGAGGCCAGAACCGGAGGCGTAACCTGAAAGGGAGTTGACCAATCGGAGCCCTAAGGGGCAGGGACGTGGCCAATCATGTGGATCTGAGAGAAGCGCAGCCGGTTTCTAGGGGCGTGGTCAGGCTTGTTGAGCCGCGGGATCCGGACCAATCCTGGTGTTGGCTTCTGGGTAGGGCGGGGCCTATCTCGAAGGAGTGGCCAATCCCGTGGCCAGAGCGTGAACGGGGCTCGCCGCGGGAGGGCACGGCCAACATGGGGGCGTGACCTGTCGAGACCTTGGCCAATCTTGGAGTTCGGCCGGGTTCAGGGGCGGAGTTTCGAGGCGCCGGAACCAGTGAGGGTGTTTGGGCTTGAGGAGGGCGTGGCCTAGCCCTGGGGGCGTGGCCGGGCCTGAACCGGGGCCGGGGCCATGTCGGCGCCGCCGCCCCTGCAGATCCGCGAGGCGAACGCACACCTGGCGGCCGTGCACCGGCGCGCGGCCGAGCTGGAGGCGCGGCTGGACGTGGCGGAGCGCACGGTGCGCGCCCAGGCCGAGCGCCTGGCTCGCCACGACCAGCAGCTGCGCGCCGCCCTGGACGAGCTGGGCCGCGCCAAGGACCGGTGAGGCCCGGGGCGGGCCAGGTGGACTTTCTGGAGGAGGTGGGAGGAGGCGGAGTGGACACTGGAAAGGGAGGACCGGCAAGGGGAACGGTGTGCATTCACGTGGAGTCTGGACTACTGGTGGGATTGAAAAATAACCACCAAAACACTTAACTAGTCATCAGTATGTAAAGTTGAGAGAAGTCACACAAGTATGGATTTCTAACTTAAAACCGGGCCCGTTTTCCCACAAGGCAAAATTGGCTGGTACTGAGTGGTGCAGGGACCACCGGTCGCCTGGTGTAGGTATTGGGAGCCATGGCACGTTCTTGAGGAGCAGAGAATGGTGCCCTATCAGCGGTCCGTCTAGCAGCTGAGGATTGCAAGGGATGAGACGAGCGCCCAGGGAGGAGGGAGGTGCTGGGGCCCAGGTGGGGAACAATTGGATCTGGTCGGATTCATTCATTCATCTTTACTGAACACCTACCGTGCCAGGCACCGTGCTGGGTACCAGAGCACATGGTAAGACCTCGCAGCCCTGCCCTTAAGCAGACATCACTGGGCAGTTACAACATGGGGTGATGGGGTTGTGGTGGAGGGGGAACACAGGCTCTGAGGGGGCCAGGGGGAAGGCTTCCTGGAGGAGGAGCCATCTAAGCTGAACAAGAAGTAGGAAAAGATGTGGGGGCAAAGGGAACTGCGGGGAGAGCGAGGGGGAACAGTGAGGGGTGTGTTCGTCTGCTCAGGCTGCCGGTACAGATACTGCAGACTGGGGGCTCAACCCACAGACACTAATTTCTCCCTTCTGGAGGCTGGAAGTCCGAGATCAAGGTGCCCACGGATTCAGTCCCTGGTGAGGGCCCTCTTCCTGGCTGCCTTCCTGCTGTGTCCTTACATGGCAGGGAGAGCGAGCGAGCTCTCTGGTGCCTCTTCTTACGAGGGCACTAATTCCACGAGGGCCCACCCTCACGACCTCATCTAACTTTACTCACCTCCAAAACCATCACACTGGGGGGTAGGGATTTAACATATGAATCTTGGGGACACACGAATATTCAGCCCATAACAAGGGGGCCTGGAGGCAGTGGTGAGGAGCGTGGCCTTTGTCCTGATGGCGATGGGGAGCCTCGGGAGGGGGGAGCAGCGAGGGGAACCCCTGGTTCCCATAACCCACCGTCTTGCCTTCCCGCCAGCGAGATTGCCGCTCTCCAGGAGCAGCTGCTCACCTCCGAGGCCGCCATCCACAGCCTGCAGGCTGCCGTGCGCCAGAGGGATGAGCTCATCGGGCAGCTGCGACCCCGGGCCAAGCTGCTGCAGGACATCTGTCGCCAGCGGCCACCCCTGGCCGGGCTGCTGGCCGCCCTGGCTGAGGCCGAGCGGCTGGGGCCCCTGCCAGCCAGCGACCCCGGCCACCTACCCCCTGGCGGGCCTAGTCCACCCCTTGCCAACAGCACTGGGGAGGAAGGGGACGGGGACCCCCTGCAGCCTGCAGTGTTTGGGACAACAGTGTGAGCCCTGGGGCAGGGATTCCAGGATGGAGACAGAGGGCCCCCCATGGAGACTTTTCCCACTGCTGTGGGTGTCCTCGGGGGTCACCAATATCCTAGAGGGGACCCCGTGGCAGAGCCAGGATCCAAGCATCAAAACCTGCCAAGAAGTCATAGGTTTCAAACGGGTGGCCTGCAAGCCACATGCAGATGTTAGCCCAGATTTTTTTTTTTTTTTTAAACCCTAAGCTTTGAGTCAATCACCCTTGTTGAAAAACTGGCAGCGCTTACACCAAAATCTGGATTTCTGGCTTCAGACTTGGCCATGCCAGCCTGGATCTGAGCCCAGGGTAGCCACTTTAGCCAGAGTGTGCGTTTCAATTGGCCCCCTCATCTCTCTCAGGGCCAGATGTCTGGCCCCCGAAGCATCTGAGTTTGAGATCTCTTTCTCTAGTGGAGGCAGATGGTATCAAGTTCCATGTCATTTGAATTTTTCTCTGTGTTTCCCCCCTGCCCTGATTCTTGTTCCTCCAGGAGCATCCCCCATCCTGGGGCAAAAGCTTTTCTTACTCTTCATCCCACACCAGAATTGGGAGCCTCAAGCTTCGTGCCGTTTTGCACTAGTTATATGAAGACAAATTTTTAATCCTAGATATTTTTTTCCTAACTCTGTCCTTCCCTCAACCTTTAACGCAGAAGGAAGAGTGCATGAGTCAGACATGCTGAGATGCTGGCAGCCAGGCTGTGCTGCCCAGGAAAACGCAGGCATCCCTTAATCTTTTCTGATAGCATCCTGCCTCAGGGCCTTTGCACTGGCTCTTCCCGCTGCCTCGAATGGTCTTTCCCCACACGTCACACGACTGGTTCTTGTCACTCAGGTCTTTGCTCAAATGTCACCTCCTCAGAGAGGCCTTCCCTGACCACCTTATCTGAAGTAATTCCTCTCCCTGCCCTCTCGCCATTATCCCATTTAATTTTCTTGACGGAACGTCTTACCATCAGGCTCTGAGCTCCATGAGGGCATGTATTTGTTCTGTCTGTCACCAGTGCCTGGCACACCCTGGGACCCCAGTAGGAAGAGGATGGGTCTGTGGGCCCTGAAGGGGGCCGGGGGTCCCCAGCGCGACTGATGAGGCCCCCGCACCCCCGACTGGTCCAGCTTTTGTAGCTGGCTCCTTTTGATACGCCCTAGAGAATCTATTTTTTCACTCTTATTTCTACGCTGCCCTTCTTGGCCCGAGACACTCAGGGTGCCTGCTTTTTATCCAACCAGGGGACCCCGTGCCCTTCTCCGCCCAGCCCAAGTGCCCAGCCTGGTACCGTGGCAGCCGTGTCCGGGCCTCCTCACTCAGGGAATTGTCATGCCAGGAACCGCCGAGGGGCAGGGCCCGTCGGCCCGGAAAGGTCGGGGTCCACCCCAGCCCTCAGGATGGCGCCGCCTGCCCGCCTGGTGTCTGACAGTCACCCCTCAGTGTGGTAACAATGGCCCCGTTTTCTCCTCTGGATGAATAAGGGGGGCTGTTTGGACAAGGGGAAGGCAGGCTGCGGCCTGTCTGAGCTCAAGAATAAACCGGATGATTTCTCGGCCTTGGTCCTCCCTCCTTTCTTCCTGGGGTGGGGGCTGGAGAGGCGGCCCCTGCGCTCTTCCTGGTCCCAGGGGTGGGGGTCCTGCCGGGCGAGGAGACACGAGGAGGTCAGGAGGCCCTGGCTGCGACCAATTTTTGGAGGCGTTATTGTTGAAATTCTCATTCTCTTAAAGGCAAGGAGATGCCAACACAGAGCCACAACAATCGTGCTGTATTTTACATTTTTCTATACAAAAAAACTTTGACGCTTGTAACACTCATAAAAAAACACAATGGGGTATTTCTCTGCCTACGCGGAGAATTTTGGACTGCAGCAAGCTGTCAGAAATTTTTGCAGCAGAATAATGTCACTGCGGTTTCTCACAAAACTGTCACGTCAGCTGTGGCTTGAATCACGGCGCCGGGTCGCCTGTAATCCATGGATCGGTTTTCTGGCTGCAGCAGCAGCTCGGGCAACACCATCGTGCTGTGTGTGAATCCAAGGTGGGAAGAGCCTCTGATGGTCTCCGGGCCTGTGCACGTGTGGGTCCCCAAGCGTCCTGGGAGATCCGAGGTTATTTTCCATCCCGCCTGGGGATGGAGTGCTCTTGTTGGCAGAGCCGTCCAAAGTCTCAATCGAAGGCCTTCTGTGACGGTGGCCTGGTTCCTCTCGGATGATGTCAGGGGTCAGGGCCGCTTCTATGGTGGGTCTCGCAGCCCCCTGGCTCACCAGCTTGTCATGAGCGAGCCCCTCAACTGATGTTTGAAAACCGAAAACTAGCCACCAAAGGAGCCGTATCGACAAAAGACTGCGACTGGCCCCTAAGGAACTACCAGGAACCGTTTTGTCCAACTGAACGTGGGAATGTCTGTAGGACTCGGCTGTCTTGGCTCAGCCAGGACTGGTCTGAGGACCTCCTGCAGCTCTGGCTGCTGCCCTGTGGAAAGCCCAGAGAGGGGAGGGGACCTGCCCCAGGTCACACAGGAACTGGGCCTTGAGCCTCCCCGGCCACGGCCTTGCCTCCCTCCACCCGGGACACTGCGGTCCCTGGAGGGCAGTGGCCCGCCCTTCCTCCTTGCGCTCAGGAAGGGACCTCCTCGCCCTCCCCCCACCCCTGGGCTGGGCCTGGGCGACAGTGAGCAGGACAGCAGGTGGGCGGCGGTGCCAGTGACGGATCTGTCCTGTCCCTCTGCCCTGCCGCTGGCCCCACAGGGCTGTGCCTAGGGGCGCAAGGCCCCGGCACGGTGAGGGTTACAGCCGGGGCCCCTCCCAGTCTCCAGAGCCACTGTCCCCTAGCAACAGTGCTGCCAGGCAGGACGCGCCAACGCTGGGCACAGCGGCCGTGTGAAGGGCTCCAGGACTGACGAAGGCCAGGTGAGTGAGCGGAGGGCACGCGGCCTGTACCCTGGCCGGCTGAGCGGAAGCCCCCTTGACCTCTGTCCCATCCTGCAGCCCCGAGAGCCCCGACCCGGCATGGACGCTGTGGACGCCACCGTGGAGAAGCTCCGGGCGCAGTGTCTGTCCCGAGGGGCCTCGGGCATCCAGGGCCTGGCCAGGTGAGCTGTCCGACCGCGCCCCCCGCCCCCCAGCCCCAAGGATCACTCTCCGACCGCGCCCCCCGCCCCCCAGCCCCAAGGATCACTCTCCAACCGCGCCCCCCGCCCCCCAGGTTTTTCCGCCGCCTGGACCGGGACGGGAGCCGAGCCCTGGATGCGGGGGAGCTCCAGCGGGGCCTGGCCGAGCTGGGGCTGGCGCTGGACGAGGCCGAGGCGGAGGCCGTGTGCCGGCGCTGGGACCGCGACGGCAGCGGGTCGCTGGACCTGGAGGAGTTCCTGCGGGCGCTGCGGGTGAGGCCGCTGTCAGGGGGTCGAGCTCTCCGTGGGCTTATCCGTCTCAGCGCTGACACCGGACGCCCGGGGACTCGTCACCAAGAGGAGCGCTAAGAGGCACCTGCTGGGGACCCCCTAGCTCTGCACTTGACGCCCGGAGGGGTTGGAGCACCCCCAGTCACCACTTCCCCTCCCCTCCCCAGCCCCCCATGTCCCAGGCCCGGGAGGCGGTCATCGCGGCCGCGTTCGCCAAGCTGGACCGCAGCGGGGACGGCGTGGTGACGGTGGACGACCTCCGGGGGGCGTACAGCGGCCGCGCCCACCCCAAGGTGCGGAGCGGGGAGTGGACCGAGGAGGACGTGCTCCGCCACTTCCTGGACAACTTCGACGCCTCCGAGAAGGACGGGCAGGTGGGCGCCCCCGGCCCCCGTCCCCCGTCCCCCTGCCCCGGCCTCGGTCCTCACTTACAGCCCGTCCGCCCCAGGTCACGCTGGCCGAGTTCCGCGACTACTACAGCGGCGTGAGCACCTCCGTGGACACCGACGAGGAGTTCGTGGCCATGATGACCAGCGCCTGGCGGCTGTGAGCAGCCCACTCGCTCAGCTGGCACCAGCGTAGTGTAGGACCCCCACCCGACACCCCTGAGCCAGGGGCCCCTCACCTGGGATTCGAGCTGGGCAGCCCCCGGGGTGGGGCTGGAGGGGAGTGTGGGAGGACGGAGGCCGCAGAACCGGCTGGACCAGGTGTCAGGACCCTGCTGGCCACCAGGTGTTAGTGAGACAAAGGTTCCAAGGATGGGTCCCTGGCTCAGGACCCCAGGGAGAAAGGCCCTGCCCGCCCCCCACGCTGAGCTGACCCCAGGCCTCCCAAAGCCGCTGCAGATGCCCCACCCCCTGCCCCTCCCTCGTGTGTCCCCCGGGAAGCCAGGCGGCCCGAGTTGGGCAACAAAGAGCTGTGTGTGAAGCGAGGCATAGTCTGGTCACCTGCCCAGCGTGGAGTGTGGGGTGGGGGCCAGGCTGCTGGAGGAACCTCGCCCTGGGAGGTGGAGGCTGCTCCTGGCAGGCCGGCAGGCTTCCTGAGGCCCCTGGGGCACGCAGGAGGCCAGGGGTTTAGTTAAAAGTTTTAATGTAGTTCCCAAATACATTTCATATGACAATCTTACATAAATGTTCCAAAACACATGGGCGTTGTCTGGTTTCACTTGTCACTAGTTGGCTAAGGCTTAAAGCAGAGGAGTGTGACCGGGTCTGCCGGGAGGGCCTCTGGTGTCTTCCCGAGGCTCAGGCTTGGGCTGCACCTGGCCGGCCAGGCCCGGGGTGGGCGGCACAGCTGCGGAGGCCAGGCCTTCTCCTCACCCCGAGGGCGGGGCTGGCACTTCCCTCTGAAAGCCCTCGCAGCCCTGGGCACAGGGACCTTCTGTGTGGCCTCCCCAGGCGGGCGGCGCCCAGCTGGCGTGTGGCCAAGCTCCATGGTGGGGGTGGGCAGGGCGCCTGCTCCTGTGGGTGCTGCGAGCATGAAGGATGGCCTCCTCGAAGGCCCTGCTAGGGTCCCCTCTGCCTCTCAGAAGCCCCTGATGGTCTTGGGGGCAGTGACATCCAGGGCTGGGAAGGAACGACCGACAGCAGGAAGCAGGTTTGCGCCTGGGCACCATGCGGTGGGTGACCCACGTGATGGGGCCCTCAGCTCCTGAGACCCTTTCCTAGATCAGCTCTCTCCAGGCCTGGGGCCCAACCCCCTGACACCCCGACACAGCCTGGAGGAACCCCAGGTGAGGGACGAATGGGGTCTGCCCCGCTGAGTAGCCCGCTGAGTAGCCCACTGAGCACCCCCAGCTCCCCTGTGAGGCCCCAGCCCAGAGGCCAGGACCACAGGGAGGAGGAGGATGCGCTCGTGACGGAGCTGCGCCTGCTAGACGCACAGGAGCATCTTAATCTAAGAAACCAAAAACAAAGCCTTGGGGGGAATAAAAAGATCTGAAAACATACACCCCAAATCAGAATGGGGGAAACGAAGATAAGGTGGGTAGTTAACAGGACGTCCAGCAGGCCCAGTGTTGACGCTCGTGTGGACAGACCCGGCAGCCCGGGCAGGAGGCGGGGACCCCCGGGGTGGGTGGCAGTGGGGAGAGGCCGGCGACACGAGGAGGGTGGGGTGAAGAAACAAGGCGTCCCAGTCCCAGTGAAGCCGTGACAAGTCTTAATGTGCCATCTCAATTCAAAGGAGGGGAGGGAAGAAATGTTCTCTTTTGTTTGCTCATCAATATGATGAGGTCTCGTGTCCCAAACCACGTTCAGGCAGTTCCCGAGGCTGCTTCTGAACGGGACGCGCGGATCCAGACTGTGGCCAACCCAGCGGGGAGTGTGGTTCCCGGGCCCCGCGCCGCGACGCTGCTGGCGGGAAGGGCGGGCGGGCGGACAGACGGACAAAGCAGCAGGCTCGCGGGCGGCCGGCTCCCGGCGCTATGTGCTCCCGGCCGTCTGCCCGTCCCCTTCGTCACCAGCGCCTGTGGGGAGCAGCGGCCTTGCGGTCAGGTCCCCACCCTGCACGGAGCCCCCTCCCCCGGGGCCAGGCCCCCCGACAGCAGGTGGGAAGGGATCTGGGAAACCACTCCCTCGTGCCCTCCAGGGCAGGGACCACCTGGCTCACCGCTTCCGGTGGCTCCCGACGGAGCCAGGACGTCATCGTCGTCACTGTCGTCCTCGTTGGACGGGGCGGCCCCGGGCTCCGGGGCAGGCGTTTTGGCCTCCTGCTCCTGCTCCGCGCGGCTGCGCAAAGCCAGGATGCGGTGGTGCAGGGCCGCGTACAGCTGCCCGGTGTCCTTGGAGCTGGCCTAGGGGCAGAGGGAAGCGCCAGGTTACGAGGCCTCGTGCAGAGATCGCCGCCTGGGCAGCGCGGCCGCTGCCCTCCCCGTGACGGGACGCCATGACCCCCAGGCCGGGACTGGGGAGGAGCCCGACCCACTCTGGAAGCTTCCATGGCCCCGAGGCCTGTCCTCCCCGGGGGCTCACCCAGCCTGCAGCGGCCAGCACTTGGGGCTGGGGTGCACTCCTGCCTCTCCTGTCCGTCCGTCCCGGGCTGCTCGTCTTGGGGACCAGCCCAGGGGAGGCCTCCCCCTCCCCCTGGCCCAGCCCTCCGTGCAGCCTGGCGGGGCCCCGACCGGGTGCGCTGAGGGGCTCCCTGCCCCCACCCGTCCCCAGAGGCCGCTGACCGAGATCAGGAAGACCTTGACGCCCTGGTCCTCGGCGTCCGTGGCCGTGATGCGGACGCCCTTCTCACTGGCCTTGTCCATCTGCATCTGGGCCCACAGCTTGGTGTTGAGGATGAGCCGCAGGCTGCCCTGGGTCCGCATCACTGCAACCAACACGGCCACTCAGCCCCGCGCCCGCCCGCCCCGGCCGGCCGTGGGAACAGACGCACCCTGGGAGGAACGCGAACCCACGGGGCAAACTCCTACTCACCTCCCCAGGTCCCTGCGAGCCGCCCACCCAGCTGCCGAGCCACAGCCCCTCACACGCTGGGGGCCGCCCCGGCACCACCCGGCTCCTCCAGCCCACAAAGACCGAGGCCGCTGGTGGGGTCAGAGGCCATGTCGAGCCCGTGGAGGGTTTTGCACTATGCCTGCCCCGTGTGTCAGAGCCCACCCAGCCCGCCCTTGCCCCTACCCCGTGGACCTGGCGACCCCTGGCCTTCCTGCCAGCCCAGCTGTCCCCGCTGGAACAGGCCTGGAGATGGTTAGACGTTGTCACCCCAACCCGGGGCCCCAGACGGCACACGGGACAGGGAGCAGCTCAGGCCAGCTCGGGGAGGCCTGTGGGGTCTGGGCCCCAACCGACCGGATCTCCCCACGTCCACTCCCGGAGCCCTCTGAGCCCGGCCTGTGACAGGATCAAAGGCCGTGTGGGGCGAGCGGAAAGCGCGCCTGGGGTGGGTCTCAACGAGGGGTGAGGACACAGCTGCGACCAGGCCGGCATGGGCAGGGGGCTGAGAAAGGGGCCGTGAGCTGTGGGGGCTCCAAGCACTGCGCTCTCTCCGTCCAGAGACGCAGACATTCCCACAGGGAAAAATAAAAAAGAGATGGAGGGGACGTCCATGGGGAGAGACAACAGGGCCCGGACGGGAGGGCCATTTGCATCTCTGTGCCAATCTCGGGACCATTCTGAGCCCAGGTGTGTGAAAACACTGCCGAAATGATGAGACATGAGCTACGACCGGGCCAGGAATCAAGGCTTCTGTAAGGCCCAGAGGACGACTTTAATTTGGGAAGATTCAAAGAAAAAAAAAAAGATGAGCACACACTTCACATGTGCCCACACGTACATGCTGACTGTCTTTAAATACGTATATATGCATGTGTACACACACAGACACACACAAACACACACACACACACCCATTTTTGTAACAAGCATACTTCTCATGTAGAGACTCACGTATAGACGGTCCTGGAGCATCACTTACATTAGTCAAAACAATCAGGAACAACCTCATTGCCCATCAGCAGGGAAACGGTTATGTGCATTCATTGTCAAAAAATATTAACGTACAAGTTTTGCCCAAAACAGCCGTATTTTTAAGGAAAATTTAATGACGAACATGCTCACAAAAGCTCAAGCGAAAAGAGCAGAAATCAAAATCGCCCCATTTCCTTAAAAAAGAACCACAACAGAGGAACGGGCCATCAAAATGTTATCAGCAAGAGATTTCTCTTTATAGAGATTACAGTTGATGTCTGATTTTTTCTTTTTCCTTTCTACCGTAAAACAACTGGCACTTTTACTCTCAGAAAGTAAGTTTAAGAACTCCAAGTACTTTTACCCACTCTCACACTCAGGAAGAGGAGAGTCAGGGAAGGGCTGGCAGACGGAGCCTCGGGGGCGGGCGGGGCCACAGGCCATGGGGGTGGGTGCCGGGTTCCCCTGTGGACCCACTTCCGGCTCCCTGGGTACAGGGGCTGAGTCGGACCTCGCCCCTCACTGCCCTGGAATCCCGCACCCCCAGGCCCTCTCCACAGGCCCGCCGCGGCTCACCTAGTCGCGACTGTAACGTCCCGTCGTCGGTGGAGGCCATGTCGTTGAGTCTGAGCAGCCCCCGGCCCCTCTCCACCCACGACTGCGAGGTCTTGTCAAAGACGAACAGCTTACACTGGATCTGGAACACAGGCGGCCTCTGGGTGAGCGGGGACCCCGGTCACTGTTGACAGACCCCCAGGAGCCTCCACCTATCCTGAGGGAACTAGGCGGGTCAGCAAACTACGGCCTGGGGGCCACGTCGGGCCCTCGGCCAGTTTTCTGTCCTGCCTCGAGCTAGAATGGGTTTTACATTTTTACAGGAGTATTAAAAAATCATTAAGGAAATGCAATCAAAACCACAATGAGATACCACTTCACACCCACTAGGATGGCTAGATCCAAAAAGACAGATCGTCACAGGCATCGGGGGGGCTGTGGAGAAACTAGAAGCTTCTCCCATTGCTGGTGGGAATGTAAAATGGTGCAGCCGCTGTGGAAAACTGCTCCTCGAAACGTAAATATGGAGTTATATGGCCCAAAAATTCCACTCCTACCTAGATGTCTACCCAAGAGAAACGAAACATACGTTCACACAAAAACTTGTACACGAATGCTCACAGCGGCGCGATTCATAATAGCTCAAAAGCGGAAAGAACACAACTGTCCATCCACACGCTGGAATATGAGGCAGCCATGAAAAGGAGAGAAGCCCTGACACATGCTACACTGTGGATGGACCTTGAACACACGACGCTCCAGTGAGAGAACCAGACACAGAAGGACACACGGTGTGTGACGCTACTTATATGAAATGTCCAGAACAGGCAGATCCAGAGAGACAGAAAATGAGTTAGCGGTCGCCAGGGGCTGGGGAGGAGAAAGGGCGAGTCACTGCTGACGGGCACAAAGTTTCTTTTTGAGGGACAAAAATGTTCTAAATTAGACAGTGGTGATGGTTGCACAACTCTGTGAATATACTAAAAGCTACTGAACTGTATGCTATAAAAGTGTGAATTTTGTAGTATGTGCATTATATCTCAATAAAGCTGTTAAGTACATGAAAAAAAGAATATGCAACAGAGACCATACGTGGCCCTGTACAGACACAGTCTGCAGATCTCCGTGAGTCAGTATCTCTTAACATGGACAGCTTAAACACCAAGCGTGACTGGAGAAAAGAAGTACCACCAAAAACCCCACATTAAAAACTCCCCAGGACTCCATCCACGTGGTTTACACACACACACACACGCACACGCATGTGCGCGCACGTGTGAAAGCCTGAAGAGCAGATGTCCGAGGCCCACGACACTTGACATGCTGCCCCAGGAGGAGAGGAAGACGGGGACAGCAGAAGAGTGGGACAAGGTGTGTGCTGCATCTGTGATTTATCCCCTAATAAAACAACACAAGGTGCGAGCGTGACAAATCATCACAGCTGTTAATTCTGGGTGGGAAGGGAGGGCTTTGTTACAACAGTCTGTAACTCCCTGAACTATCGGGAACGTCTCAGAACAGACCGTTTTGCTCTAAAACAGAGCAATACAAGAAGTCCCTCAGCACTCGCTAAGCTCTCAAAATCCCACCCACAAGGCCCCAGAGGGTGGGCCCTGGCCGCGGTCTGAGCGCCTGGAGGGTGCGGGTCAAGCCTGTGGGGCTGCCCCCGCTGTACAGAGGAGCTGGGGGCTCCTGGTGGCCCTCACCTCCCCTGCCGGCTGGGAGCCTCACCTGTAACACGTTGCTCTCCGCCTCCTCCCCGGTGATGACTTCCACCTTCTCCAACAAACACTTGCGCGCCGTCGCCTTGGTGTAGGCGGCCGCCGACTCAGCCAGGGACTCTGAAATGTGATTAACTGAACAACATTGACTATTTATCTGGTGAGGGGAGAGCGTGTGCCTTCCCAGGAGACAAAAGGGTTGGCTCTGGCCTCCAGGGTGCCAGCTCCCCCTGGCAGGCCATGCCTGGGACCTGGTGCAGACCATGGACATACAGCAGGGGATGCGGCTTCGGAACCTGCAGGGAGACCCCCTGGGAGCCGGGAGTGGCTCCGGACCCCCGTTTTCCCATTGGGTAGAGGACAGAAGGACAGAGACTTCCGAGAGGGCACTCAGAGAAACGTCCCTCTGCAGCCTCAGGGCGTGAAGGAGGCGGCTGACACCACCTCCACAGCCCCAGCCCCGAGTCACCACGCAGCGTCACAGGGCTCGCTGTTTTAAGATGAACACATCCCCTTGCTGCCCACTGGAAACCAGCGCCCTCGGCATTTAGACTCTCGAGGGGGCTGGTTCATGCGTGGTGATCGCTGCTGTGCGGGGTTGGCCCCCACATCCCTCCTGGGCAGGGGAGTGGATGGACAGTGTCTCCGTCCCTTGGGACCCCTCCCGTGATGCAGCAGGACTGCGGCGTACCTTTCTCAGGGGTGGCCTCCTGGGACGAGGACTCGGACCCGGACTCGGCAGCTGAGTTTTCCCTGGTGGCATCTGAAGTGACCTCATTTAGTTTGGGTGGGCTCTGCAGGGAATGAAGGCACACGGGGACGGGGGCGTGTTGGGTGGTCCTGGCGGGCCCATTGCTGCCAGACAGAAAGCCCCTCCACCCGGATGCAAGGCAGCTCTCGGCACACCCCGTAGACAGAGGGCTTCTTTCTGCCGCTGGCTTCTCCTCCATAGCCTTGGGGACCCACCCAGTCCTGGCAGACGCGACCGCATGGCCCTTCCCCATGGGTGGGTCCCCGTCTCCACACAACGACCCTCAAGCACTGTTTGGCGGTAAAACCTCACACAGAAGTGCCCTCGCGACACAGGCAGCTCTGTTACAGGGGGACTGCCCTTGGAGCCCCGAAATGGGGCCTCGTGGCCTCGCCGGGAGGTGCGTGCCACCAGCTGGCAGTCACCCCAGGCCACACTGCTCATCGTGGTTGTGAGGAAGCTCTGTGACTGTTTCATGTGACAGAGAAGGACAGTACTGACACTCGAGAGGAGCAGCAGGAGGCTCCCGGATATAACAGAAACTGGGACAAAGATGCAAATAATTCACTGGCCCCAACCGCTCCGGAGCCACAGCCACAACGGGCACAGCGGGCTCTCTGCGTTCCACTGGGAAAGGAAAGAAACAAAAGGAAGGAAGCAGCTAAACAATTCTAGAACCCTCTCCCAGGCTGGCCAGGCTCTCTGGGACTGGAGACGGCCCGAGGGCACCCACGTGCCTTGGCCACGGTGTGTGTCAGGAGTGCAGGGGCCATGGGGCCACTGTGGGGGTTCCTCCCAGGCCACACCTGTCCCCCCCGTCCTGCAGCCTCATGGTTGGCTCCAGAGGTGGCTCAGGGGGGTCCTAGCACACGTGGCTAAGGACTCTGGCCTGATGGCTGTCACTGCAGCTGGCCCTGGCCAGGAGGAAGCGTGGCCTGGGATCGAGGGGAGCCAGTCTTAGGGTGAGGAAGGGCAGGATGCATGAACTCCAGCTCCTGCAGAGCCTCCCAGGGCCGCCGGCGTCGAGAGCCCTGCCCCTGGCTTCACACTGAGTCCCAACTGCTCTTCTCTGTCTTACTTGCCACGGAAAGCATCCCAATTTTACAGGAGATAACATGGCAGCCCCACCACACGTGTCCCTTTGACTTGCAGGAAACTCTAAAAGCCTTCTGGCCGCCGGGAGGAACAGTTCCCAGTGGGTCCACTCACCAGCACGCGCTCGCTCATGTTCTGGCCAAACACGAATTTGTTGCTGGCGGCGTCGGCACTATTGGTCGAATTCTCTAAACTGAAGAGAGAATGCGCTGTGAGTGTGGGGGCAGCACCTGGCGGGTCACAGGAGTCAGCCGAGCGCCACTGGCCCACTGGGTTTTGCTCTGGGCACAAGGTCCGGGTGACAGAGGCCATTCTGAGGGCCGGGCTGGACAACCCTCCAGAACTCGGGTCCTGCCTCAGGGGTCTGTTGAAGCCCACCATCCCGCCCCGGCCCGTCCACAGCTGTGCCCAGAATGGGAAAGAAGGAAGAGGCTGAGGGGCAGCCGGGGTTCCAGTGGCACCTGCCCCCTGCCCTCCCTCCTCTCCCCCGAGGAAGGACGTGGCTGGCTCCTGGTCCAAGCGCTGCCTCCTCTCTGGGGCCGAGTCGGGGGCGATGGAGGACCGTGGGCCCCTGGGAGGCTGGGCAGCAGGCCCAACACACACACCTGGAGCTGATATACTGAAGGAAATAGTTGGTCGCGGTTGGTGTTTCTGAACTGGGGTGTCCGGCATTCTCCACGTCGGCTGCTTCAGTGCTCTCGTTTATTAACTGGGAAACAGAGAGGGACACTTCCTGCTCAGAGAACAGCACGTTCTGGACTCTGCTGCCCAGCCTGTCTGCACACCCCTACACCGCACACACAGCTCCGATGTGCAAATTCGATCATTTGTGCGTGTGCACGCGTGTATATTGGCGGGTGGTGCTGTAACCAGTCACGGCTTTTTGCTTTTAGCATTACGATACAAAAACAGTTCAAAGGCATTAGGAAGCTTCTTCTACTTTGTTTAAAAAAAAAAAACACACTCAAGTCGACGTCTTGTTGGCGTTTTCAGCAATGCTTCTGTCCTGAGATCACAGAAGGTGTACAAACCCGGTATTTTAAGGGGCTCATTACAAACATGGTAAACGCATCGTTTCCTGAGGGCTTCTTCTACACCCACTGCCGTGCCAGCCCCGTCACACGTATTACCTACAGCAACACTCCCGGGCCCCTGAGCAGGGGTACTGTGCACCTCGTTCTATGCTCGAGGAACCATGCACAGCCTGAAGTTGCCTGCCCTCCACGGAGAAGCGGGACGAGACCGAGCCCTCAGAGACCGCGGGCATCCGGAAGACACCGTCCCCCCAGTTTCAAGGCGGCCGTTCCCCTCAGCTGCAGGAACAGACTCAACCTGACGGCCCAGGCCGGGCCCCGCCCCCGGCACAGGGGGGTCTCAAGGCCCTCCCTTCTCTTGCTTCCTCCTCCCTGGAGGGAGCAGCCCCCAAGGGGCTCATTATTCTGGCTTCAAGTTGTGCAACATCAACACCTACTTTTCGTCTCTTGGGGCATCAGTGCCTCTACCGGACAGTGAGCACCAAAGGAGAACACGGACGGCGCGACCCGATGGTGTCCCCCCGCCCGAGACCTCTGCTTCTCTCTTTCAGGGTCTCTCGCCCTCAGCACCTCTGACGTTCGGGGTGGGGTCATTCTCGGGGGGACCGTCCTGGGCACTGTAGGGCCCTGAGCAACATCCCTGGCCCCACCCACTCAACGTCAGCAGCACCTACCCCCCCGGTTGTGACAGCCACAAACGTCCCCAGAGACAGCCACGGAGCCCACCTCTCAGGCTTCTCGAGGAGCCCCTGGTCAGATGAGCTGCTGGCGATGGCACAGAAGGACATCTGTCCCCGTGGCTGGGAAAGGTGGTGCTGCCCAACTCTGGTCTTCCCGGAGAGCCAGCGCACGGGGTCCAGAGCAGAGATCCCCTGCCACTGCCCAGATGCTCCCTGCCTCTGATGCAAAGTCCCCAGACTAGACCACCACACTGTCGGGGGGGGTGGGGCTAGCCAGGAGGTGACAGATACTGCTGCCTCCAGTGGGAGAGAAAACAGTATCTTTCCACCTGCCCTACTTTTTTTTTTTTTAATTTTATTTATTTATTTTTTTCCCCAAAGCCCCAGTAGATAGTTGTATGTCATAGCTGCAAATCCTTCTAGTTGCTGTATGTGGGACGTGGCCTCAGCACGGCTGGAGAAGTGGTGCGTCGGTGCACGCCCGGGATCCGAACCCGGGCCGCCAGCAGCGGAGCGCGCGCACTTAACCGCTAAGCCACGGGGCCGGCCCCACCTGCCCTACTTTTAAAAAATAAGGTGATGGTTCTCAATTTCTGGTGATTTGGTTCCCGGGGAACGCTCAGCACTATTTGGGGACATTGTTGGTTGTCACAACTAGGGGCAGTGCTCCTGGCATCTAGAGGGTAGGGGCCAAGGAAGCTGCTTAACACCCCGCAGTGCCCAGGACGGGCCTCCAACTAGGAATGACCGGTCTAAATGCTGCTAGTGTGGAGACAGAGAAACTCTGAAGGAAGGAACAAAAATCTCTCCAGCGACATCAAAAGCACTGGATCGAGCCATTGTCTGCTTTCTCCTTGGCTACAAAAACATCAGTTCTCAGGGATAAGCACGCGGGGTCCCCTGCTCCCGGGAGAACGAGGGAGCCCACCATCAGGAGCCGGGCAGCGGGGTGTGGCAGGCATGCAGAACAAGGCCCTGCCAGACGCGCGCCCGTCACCGGCCACCCCACACCACAGTGTTTTGTCTCTGCCCGGCCCCCCTTAACCTGGGGGGGCATAAAAGGATCAGTGTGCGAGCTCACCAGCTCGCCCGGCCCTCCGCTCACGCACCTTAACTCTGTCCCTCAAGTTCTGCCCGAACACAAACGCCTGCTGTGCAACTTGCTCCTTCTTTTCACAGTTGTCCTCCTCAGAAGGATTGCTAGGCTCATCTCTCTGGGGCTCTTTTTCCTAAAAAACAAACAAGACGACGACAACTGAAAAGAAGTGACGTCTTAGCCCAGATACGATCTTGCTGATGTGCGAGATGAGCCGTCTCACGCTATTTCACTTGCTCAACGTGTCCCCTCTGGTGCGGGTCCCTGGGCCGAGGGACACCTGAGAGAGGACCAGGCAGACCCCCGGCACGGGACGGGGGGAGCTCTCAGCAGCAGGAGCCGCCCAGGTGCGGCCTGTACACGCATCACCAGGGACACCAGAGGAGGCCGGGCGGGCTGGGTCACTGCTGCTCTCCCTCTGGCTCAAAGCTGTACCGCTGACCGAGGGCCCCGGGGACCCCAGCTATCAAGGTTTCTAAGAGGCAGTACGCTGTGGAAATAATTCCTATTCCCAAGTCTGCTAACTGTGGTTTGAAGGGGGGGGCCTCGGGGATATTTGAAAATTCAACTCTAGACGACCATTTTCCCCACTGCAGCCTGAACATCTCCTGGGGGTGTGTGGGGCAGGGGGAAGGTACAGAACCTCAGGTAGCGACTTTTTGGCTGAAATGGATGGGGTGGAAATAAACACACAGATGCAGTCTGGCTTTCTACAGCGAAGCCTTGGCACGTTACTGCAACTCGGATTTCAAACGTGTCTCTGCCAACCGCAGAAGCACGCTCTTCATTAAATGCCCGTTATTGTCTAGCTGCCATGCAACACCACTGGGAAACATATGCTTCTGGCCTATATAATCCCACAACCCTAAAGGACTTTTTTTTTTTTCTTTGAAAATAAACGATTTCTGAGCTGACTCCGCAGGCCAACTTCAACTAGAACGGGCACTCACTAGAATGAGTCCCCGAGGAGCTGTTCAGGTGTGGAAACAGGGAAAATGTAAAACATTTACTCCATGGAAAGTGGTGCAAGACCCTCATTATGAAAGCCATTCCTCTGGGCTGAGCGGCCCCCCAGAGCTCAGTGGTGAGTGAGCCCACTGGTAGGCACACGAGCCCGGGACATGTGGAATTAAGATCCAGTGCCCCATGGCAGGGCTCTGCCCGTGGCACCTTCCCCTCGGAACCATGGAGACGGACCACCCTTGGCATTTAACAACGTGGCACGTTGGCTGTGGTTACACCCGGGTACGCTGAGCAAACCCAGAAAGCCTGGTAACAGGCCAACACTGACACCGTGCGGGGCGGGTGACAGTCCCCGCGGCCAGCGAGGCCCTGAGGAGTCTCACACATGGGCCCCCTGCCCCAGCGTAGACGACGAACCTCGAGTGCTCGCGCCTCGTCAGAGGGACTCCTCCGGGCGGGGTTGTCGGGCAGCGTCGATGTCACGGCCCCCGGGCAGTCTGCTGGGATGCTGACGCCGTTGGTGCCGCTGCTGGGGACTGCAGGCGGAAAAGGACGGCGGGAGATCGAGGGAGCTCAGTGCTGGACCCCCCGGCACCCCCTCTACCATTCGGACCAACAGGAGAATTTCTCCTTTCTAAAGAAAAGGAGCATCACGACTGAAAGTCACAAATCCTGAGATTAAAAAAACCAAAAACCAAAACTAAAACCTCACAGAAGAATGTCTTATTGCTTATTCCACAAAAAAAACTGCAGAATTTTCTGTATATTTAGAAGCAATACCACCGAGGGGGAAAACATAGCAAATACATTGTGGGAACAATTATGAGTTTTATAGAACTAGCTTCACTAATAAAGTTGTTATGCATTTTTCCTTTAAATAGTTGAGATTACATGACACGCACAACTTTAAATCTGGCTTTGTTTAGCATTAGATCCAAACAATTTCCCACGTAATTAAAAACTCTTCAGAAATATTAACTATTTCTTCCATGTGGGATGTTGTGTTGCTTCCGATGCGGAGTTCTTGAATTGTAGGGAAAGACCAAGAGGAAGACAAGAAAAGCTCATTGGTATTAAGAAAAGGAAGAATTAACGGGCAACCCTTCCCTGTGTGGTCAGAATGCAAATACGGTGTAGGACTTAGGTCACAAGGAGGGCAAATGAGATGAAAATGCAGACTGACTAGAATCACCCTCCGAGTCTCTTAGGCACGCAGGGACAAGTCTGAGATGCTCAGGCAGCAGGCCAGCGTGCACAAAGCCAGTGCGTGCAGAGAGCACGTTTTCACCAACAGTCACGCACGGCCTCGGCGCCACAGGGAGGCAGTGGACTCCCCGCTCTGTCCTCCCGGGCTCACCAGGGGTAAAAAGGATTGTTTGCCCAGCGCTCTCTCTATTTCTGAGTGCATTCAGCAGATATAGCCAAAGTCACCTGTGTCAAGACACGGCTGTCGCAGGCGAGACTTGAGACACGCTCTACCCTGCCGTGTGAGCCTGGGCGCCAGGGCGGCGTCTCTTACCGGTCTGTGACAGTGCCTTTGGCTGTGGGGCTTGTAACACCGCCGGGCGAAGCACGCTTCGCTGCTGTTCCTTGGGCTTCTGGCTTGGCAGACCTGGGAACAGACGTCGGCTTGCCCGGGCCCTGAGACCACGCGGGCGGAAACGAAACCCCCCACTCCTCACCCCCAGCTCTCAGGTGCTTCACAGAAAACTCAACCCCAGCAACCTATCTGACCTCCCTCATAGGCTAGACTTCGCGGGGAAGCATGTTTTTTTGTAAAAACCCAAGATACTTTCTTTACAGCTAGACATGCAGATTCTGGCTATCGTTATTTTTACACGTGATGAAGTGAAATTCCCAGTAACTGATCGCGTCTGTGAATTCATCCCCTGAGCACAGTCCTGCTGCGAGGGAAGCAAGACAGAGCTCTTCTCAAGTGCTGGGCTCGAGGGTCCAGTGCAGACGGTGAGGGGAAAGCAGTGACGCCACAGGCGACCCCTCCAGAGTTTAGGACTCTGATCGGGGTCACATTAAGGCCACCTTTGCACCTGCTTTTCAAAATGCCACAGTGAGACAATCCCTCTGGCAAACACGAATTGGGAGCACGACAGGATGCTTCCGGCCCTGCACAGGCTTCCCTGTTGGACCTGACGGGTCGGGCCGGCGCCATCGCTGGGCCCTGTCACTAGCTGCGTGCCCCTGGATCGCGGCCACTCCGCTAATCAGGGTTAATGCTGTGGCACGCTGGGGCCGGAATGCTCTGGAGGGACAGCCTGAACCCACTGAGCTATGGCTGGGCACAGAGCCCAGACGTCCCCCATCAAGCCAAGTCTGCTCCCTGGCTGCCGCCCCCTCTCCTCCTCTAGGTGGAGGGCTCACAGGGGGAGAACCTCCCTGGTCTGACGAGCTCCTTAACGTGGCTTTCCAGTGCTCCTGTGTCAGGTGACTGAGGCTCCCCGAAAGCAGGCGGAGGCCGGAGCACACTGGTGGGGCTGCCTTAGGTGGCTGTGCAAGACGGCGCTGCCCAGAGGCCTGGAAGGGTGTGAGGAAGCCACTCCACCCTCTCCCTCAAAGGTGGGCACCTACCTGCGCTGGGGGCCTGGCCATGGATCAGCGTTGGCGGCTTCAACCGGAACCCACTGCTCTTTTCCTCTACAAGCACAAAACAAGAAGACAAAAAGCAGGCCTGTGTGGGGTGGGGCAGTGAAGCTGCGTGGGAGGGAGCGGGGGGCAGGAGAGGACTGTGGTCTGAGCCTTGGTGGTGTGGGCCTGGAGAACCAGGAATACGTTTCCAAGTTAAAACACGAACGCAGAAGCCCCGTCCAACCGCTAAGGCTGTGAGGCAGCCTGGGCGCAGATGAGGCAGGGGCCTGCGGGAAGTGCTGGTTCTGGTGCCAAGTGCTAACGATAGAAGACCAGAGGGTGTCGAAGGTGCGAGACAGAAGTGAGGGGACCACTTCACCCAGGAGCCCTTCCAGCTGGAAGGTCAGTACCGGGCTGGTCAACCATGGACCACGTCCCCGCGGCCTGCCGGGAGCCAAGAGGCCTGGACGCCGTGCTGCGCTCGCAGGCCCTGGAGGATGGCAGGGAGCCACAGGATGAAGGTCCCTGGGCCCCATCTCCCTTTCCTAGAGGACCTGTCTTGTCAGAGGATGCGTCTGTATCAGGAAAAGCCTCTGCATTACCAGCAGACGTCTGGGAACGAGACCTGTTTTCTGTGGTGGAAGATCAAGGGGGGCAGACAGCGGGCCTGCTCTCTCCAGACGCGCCCGGAGAGCCTCCCTCCTGGCCTCCTGGGAGCACTGAAAGCTGAGGAGGAGGAGGCAGGGCCGTCTATCCTGGCCACTGCCAGGAGGCTGGGTCTCCCCCAGGACACGAGTCTGTCACAGAGCTGACAGAGACAGGGGCTCCCGGGATGGCTCAGAAGTTGGTTTTGGCTGGTCCACACAGATCCCTTAATCCGTGCACCTTGGTGACTGTGCCCATCTCAGAGGCGGCAGGGGACAGTCTCATGCAGTCTGGGAAGGGATCAGCATAAAAAGCCCTGTGACTCCGACAGGCCAGGTCTGTCCCCAGGGAGGCACAGGGACAGCTGCAGCTTGGGCCACCAGAGGCCGCCTCCCTTGTGCAGAAAGGTCCGGCCCTATCGGAAACAACCCTTGTCAGGTCGCGGGGAACAAGATCAATACACCAAAATCAGTTGTGTTTCCATACACTAGCAACAAACAATACGAAAACGAAGCTCAGGGAACAATTCCATTTACAACTGTACCAAAGAGAATAAAATACTTAGCAATAAATTTAACAACTGAAAACTACAAAACATGGCTGGAAGAAAGTAAAGCCTTAAATAAATGGAAAGACAGCTCAAAAGGTCACATGGGGTGTGATTCCAGTTATATAAAGCGTCCAGAATGCGCAAATCCACGGAGACAGGAAGTGGGTTCATGGTTGCCAGGGGCTGGGAGAGACCGAATGGGGAGTGACTGCTCAAGGGCACAGGGTTTCTTTTCGGGGTGATGAAAATGTCCTAAAATTAATTTTGGTGATGGCTGCACAACTCTGCGGGTATACTAAAAACCAACCGATTGTACCCAAACACCACAAATCCCTTGTCAGACCAAACTGGCAAGTATGAACAAAATCAAGTCTGAATTCCGGATGAAACAGGAGGGCCCTCTTCCTGCTGTCTACACGCTGCTGAGACAACTGCTCTCCGCGAGCAGAAACGGGCCGACACAAACTCTCCCTGCTGGTCGCAGAGGAGGGACTGGCGCCTCTCCCCTGGGAGAGGGCTCATGAACCACCCTCAGGAGACGCAGCCACCACAGGAGGCGGGGCATGACGTGCTGCCAGATGTTCCCTCTTAGAAGAGAAATACTGAATTACATTTCTAAAGCTCTGGATTAGTCAGAAGATGATTGGCAACTTAGAAACATTATAAAAAACTGGGATGAAACCCACGATTTAGATAACTGAAAAGCCTTCAGAGCTGGCTTTGCGATGCTGGCGCTGTGGCTGCAGACTGACTCCCCCGCTCTGCCCTGTGCAGAGCCGGTGCTAACAGTCACTCGGCCCCGGCGCCGGTCTAGGCTGTCCAGTCGGGGGGCAGGTCGGAGAATTGCTCCCACTGACCTCCCACCAGCACTGTGGGCCCACCTCGCAGATGCACAGGAAATCCATGCTGAACGCTGCCGTGAATGGACGGACAGACAGACAGAGGCGGGCCACACTTCCAAAGGGGACTCGGGACAGAGGGGCCCAGGGCAGCCGGGAGTGTGCTTACAGGGCAGTCAGACCCTGCAGGCCCTGTCGCAGGCCCATCTGCACTAAATAATCGAGGTCTCTTCTCACGGCCTCCAGAAACTCAGTGCTCCTGCAACACTGCCAGGGCACAACAAAGAGGCGCTCCCTGGCAGCCAGGCCCCCCGCCACACGCCGGGGGCACGGGGCGTACAGGCATGCCCCCGTGAGCTCGCGGGGGTAAGAGGCGGCTCCCTGTGCCTCAGAGAGACCCCGAATGATGTGTGAGGGAAGTGATGCTTGCCCCCGGGGGAACTCCGGATGTAACCAGGAAAATACATTGGATTCTAACCCGATGGGTACCAGAGCTTAAAAGAACCCAAGAGAAGGCAGCCTGGCGGGGCTGAGGCCTGTGCAAGGATGGGGCTGCTGCTGGGTGGGAGGGCGCTCGGCCACGTACAGGGGTACGGAGCATTGAGCACGCACATGGAGGACGAAGGGAGGCAGGTTTCTTACCGTCAAAAAAGAGGCAGGAACATGAAGGGGGGGCTCAAATGAACCCTGATGGAGCTGGACTGGACGTCTCTATGTGGACCACGGGCCACCCGCACGTGCAGATGGAGATATAGATACAGACAGAGATACACGTGTAGATGTGAAGGCGTGCATGCCGACCACCCCGATCTTGGTTTCTCGAGACCACGCTCCACTAAAAAGAACCAGGATCCCTTTGAGAAATGGCTGACTCCAGGGCTGGGATGGGGAGCCTGGAACCTCTCGTGATGACAGAAAGGGAAGTGCTCAAAAGAATGATGGGGACATGGCAAAAGGACACAGAAACCTGCCTGACGGGACTCCCACTGGCCAATCTGGGACGATTAAAATAAAATCTGAATGTTAAAATAAATACCACTAAGAAAAGACTATTTCCCATCGACTATAACGGGAATCCATGAACCCACAATGACATAAACAAAGTACTAAACAAGTGGGGGGAAGAGAAGGCTCTTCCTTAGGCTAGAATGTCAATTAACGAAGGCAGGGGCAATGACAGAGGCTGGAAATTCCCATCTGGCGATCATCCGAGGAATCATTCAAGCAGGAAAACATCGAAAGATGCTAACACCAGAGGGCAAAAGTCAGAGAAGGAAGGCGATTCCCTAGGGTCTCAAAGTATCTCTCTAGAAAATATTAATCATGAAGGGGAAGAAATAACTGGACAGTGGAGAGAAACGACCCCCGTCAACCCCACGGCTCCACACAAGTGAACATCGTGTGCCACCCGCTCCAGCACATGGGGAAGAACACGGCTTCCCTTCGGTGGGGTTCCGGCCCCAAACTCGTCACCCAGGTGACATCACCAAGAAACACAGGACAAACCCAGGCTGGAGGACTTCTCCAAAATAACTGGCTGGTAATCTTTAAGGTCTTAAACGTAGAGGGAAGACTCGGGGATGGCTCCAGATGGAAAGCGATAACGCGACGTGTGATCCGGGACCCGGTCCCTTCCTATGAAGGACACACTAGGACGACTGGGGAAAATCGAATGGGGTCTCTGGGTAAGAAGTGCTTTATAAAATTCTTCCGTAAGTTTTAACTTTTTTTTTTTTTTTCAAAATTAAAGCTGAAAAATAAAAAGCAGGCAGTCAAGGATGTAAGAAGTTCACCTTGCAGAACGGACGTGCAAGGCTGCCACCACGCATGCTGCATCGGGTACCCGGGACCAGGGCTGCGCCAGGGCCTCTGAAGCAGGTTGGGGCCGCCCCGTCGCAGGGTGCCCTGCTCTCAGGGCTGCAGGAGAAAGGTTTGGGGGGGAGAGAGGGGAGCGAGGCTGTCACTCACAGACCACAGAGGTGCTCATGAGATTCGTAGAAGTGCACAGCACAAAGGGATCAAGACATGGCTTCAGCTACTGCTGGCCCAGGCCAGAACAGGCGGCCCGTGGCCCACGCCACCCCCACGGCTCACAACACGACCAGCTAAGGGAGCACCCTAGGTACCACCAGAGACTTTAGGGAACCACGCTCCTCCTCAGGCCTGGGCCAGGGCTCAGCTCCAAACGGTTTGCTTTTAGCGTCAAAATGAACTCAATTGTTTGAAACGAGGCCATCAAATCAATCCTCCAAGTTATAAAAACTTGTCCCTTCCGAGGCTATCGCCCGTGTGCCAGAGTATGACTTATCTCGCCAGGCTTTTGAAGTCAGCCATGAATTTATATAAGACAGGCTGGGTTACAGAATTCGGGTGGTTAAACTTGCTCATTAAATCTTTTATGAGGAATTTCAGCCACGTGGGAGAAACTTTCAGGAAATCTTGGAGTCAGTTCCCCAACAAAAGACCAAAAAAGGCAGGCTCCGTATTCTTTGGAGGGGATCAAGATGTTTTCCTTGAAATTTTAAAGCTGTGATTAAATATATTTATCTGAACACATCTAAGCAATATTAATTAATGTGAGAATTTAATACACAGGAAGGGGGCCTGGAAAATGACATAAACTTCAGTCACCCTTGGGATGGCAGAGGGCGGGGGAAGGGGCAGGCAGATTCTTTGATTTTATATATTTCCCATTTGTCTTTTTTTTTTTAATGGTACGAATGTATTACTTGTATAAACTTTTGAAAAATGAGTAATACACTTTGTAGTTTTTTTTTTTTTTTTTTTTTTAAAGGACTTAAAACTCCTTGTAACCAGGTCCTGATTGCAGAAACAGAACTAAGGGCTTATGAAGCCAGTCTCACGGACTCCAAATCTCCGAGGTGAAGAGTTGGACAACTATTTAGGAACTGAAAAAGAATCCTGATTCGAAACTGCCCATTCCTGGGAAGAGCCCATTTCACAGTATCAGCTGCTTTTCAGCCCAGGAAGACCCCAGTGACTGGCTGGGAGAGGCAGAGGGACGTGGGGGCTCACCTGGTTCTGAGTCAGAATTGCCTGCAGATGGCTCGCAGAGGGTTGATGGCATAAAAACATTGTTTTTTGATACTGTCGACAAGGAGGTGCAGGCAGGGGAGGGAACAAGAGGAAAACAGTGTGAGTAGGCAGGGCGGATGCACACGAGATCGCCTCTCCCACCTGAGGGGCCGGTCTCTGAGCCCCATGGGGGTGGGGGCAGTCAGCACTGTGAACAAGGCCTTTAGACGCCCCCATAAAAGCAAACCCCCAGAGCTCTCTCTACAGCAAAAACAGGGGTCTCCAGCCGAACGGCCTTTATCTGACGTCTAGCAGTCGACTCTGGTCTACGGTGGCCGCCTGTCTTGTCCTCGTGCCCCTAGCTTTTCCTTGGCACCCTGGGCCCCTGCAGGGGTAGCCAGGAGGGCAGCAGAATGCACTGATGATCTGAGTCTCACTTGGGGCCGAGCCCCAGCCCCTGCTCCTTGTCACCAGTCAGGGCTCATTGGCTGGCTGCACCCCTCTCCCCCCCCGTCTAGGATCTTACTTTACAGTATCAATTGCTGCCCGGCACACAGGCCAGGCAACGATGCGGGGGACTCGGAGCTGAAGAACTAACTGTGCGGACAGAGCTCAGCTAAGCGGATTCGGGGGGCAGAGCAAAGGCGATGCTTTCCAGATGCCCGGCACCGGCCGTCTCTCCATGTCACCTGAAGCTGGAGAGCTGAGGACCTCCCAGACGCCACTGCACTAGAGGAGAGGGAAAATGTTTGGTGGTCCTTTGCTCCTTCAGCCTATAGCCACAGCACAAATCTCCTCTCTCCTCTGCTGCACGTTCTCCATGCTGAAGGTGTGGTTCAGCAGTGCACAGTGAAAGGGAAGGAACACAGTCAACAGCCAGGAAATGGAAGCTCCCCCTTTCCATAGAAATGCCTACCCAACCAGCGTGCACAGATCCTTAAAACAAGGATGTCACCTTAAAACAAGGATGTCAGCCTGGCCTGCAAACCGCCGTGACAGTTCTTCAGTGCCTGCTGGCAAAGGACAGCCAATCCACTCAGGGGGACTTATGCAGTTGTGAGAAAGGATGTGGCAACGTTCAAAGACAGCGTAAGGGAAACAGGTAGGAGATCAAGTGTTACAGAGATGGTCTGGAAAGGACGCCCACTTTCTACACTCTATGTTCCTGTCATGTTTGCATTAAAGCAGAAACAACCTCCTAAGAGCGTCTTTTTGCCCTTAAAGTGATATCCTTAAGGTTCACGGTTGTAAAGCGTTTTACGTGAACTTCCCCAGAATGAACTTCGAGTTGGGTAACTGCAGATGCTCTCTCCACACACGAGCGTCTGAGTCGGCATGATAGAGAACACGGGACAGTGCCAGGGGGGACCAGTCAAGATGGGGAGGAGGGGACAAGCCCCGTGGCAGTGTTCAGCCTTGGATCTGCAGGGGCGTCCCAGGCTCGCAGAGTCTCCCCCTAAGTAGCCCCAGCATCTCTCTCCACGCCGGGAACCTGCCTCTTTCCTGCGCCAGCCTTTGTACAAGCGCCCGGGCTGGTCTGCTGGCCTCCGAGACTCCGAGCCCAGCCGCCTCCACAGCGTCCTAGCCTGGCCTACCCTGCAAGGCTCCACCAAGCCCCCCTCCTCTGGAGCTCACGGCATGTCATCAGCACAGCGTCTCCTGGGGCTCACTATGGTGTGTGTGTGTGTGTGTGTGTGTGTGTGTGTGTGTCCACGTCCTACACCTTCAGCCTGTGGACACAGCCAGCAGCGTGTCGAGGGTGGACATGTAATTAGCGGTCAGAGCCCCCAACAGGGCTGAGTCCTCTCCTCTATTTCAGAGAGACGATGTCTTCAAGGATCGTCCTTACGAGTCCACTAGGTCACACCCTCTGTGTCACAATTCTGGAGGGGGGCACCTGGTGGCTCACCCGGACATGCTCTAACCTCATTCCTGAGGGAGACTGATTCTAACTGGACCTGGGCGGGAGACGGACACCGGGCGTGAGGCACTGGAGGGGCTTAGACACGGGATGCTGTGGCCGTCGTTCAGTGAGGTGTGTGATGGTTACCTGACTGTGAAGGTGGGAACTGGGTTAAAGAGGACGTTCTTTCTCTCTTGACGGGAGGGCAGTAATTTCCATCTTCGCGGTCAGAATCTACAGAAAACAACGAGAAGGAGGAGGAGAAAATCAGGCTGCTTCCACTCGGACACCCAGAGACGGGGAAACGTTTGCACATCTCCTCACCTTCTCCGCCTTCGGGGCTGGAGCCTCCAGCGGACCTCTGAAACGAGAGCACACGTAAGGTGGTGAGGGGGGCCGGGACGCCTGGGACCCAGGGGCTCGAGCTCCGGGGTGAACGGATCCCGACACGCACCGCTAAGGGCCTCCTCCCCGGGCTCTGCCCCCCGCGTCACACACAGACTTTCAACCTAACGCTCAAGATCCCCCACGAACCTTCTCGTCTGGCTCACCAGGCCCTGTGCCAAGGAATCCTAACGGCTGAGAACACATTTACAGCACGAGGATCGGTTTCGTTGTTTCTCCGTAGGGTACAGCTAACTGGCGTGCCGCCCCCAAATTCAAACAGTGAAACCTTATCTGGCCAAAACTCATTTTGCCAAGAGCTGGAAAGCGACCCTCTCTCCCCTATGAAGGGCAGCAGGACTGTTTAAAACAGTCGCACGACACCGGGTCGTGGTGGTTCCCATTCCTGGCCCTGGCCCAGTCCACGGCACGGAACCCTCTTTCAAGGTGGGCTAGTATGTCCAGAGCCCCTGAGAGCCTGGATGCCTTGGACCAAAGTGTGCTGCAAAGCATTCAGAACAGAACTGTCAGACACAACAATCAGCAGACCACAGAACTCACCGGAACAGTCACAAGCTAAGAGACAAGGGGCTGAAGAATTTCCTCAACAACCTTTATTTTCAGGACGTGAACAACTAGCGACGAAGGAGCCTTACCAAGTCCCCTCGTCCCAACCCAGGAGAACACACAATCCCTCACGCACATGCCTCCTCAGGCACACGACCCTCCAGAACCAGGCAGCCAAAAGCCAACGGTGAGGGGCGAACATCACGCCTCCTGGGGCCCTCCGTGAAGAGCACGCAGAGGGGCCCATGTTCATATTCTCAGCAAGGCCCCCCAGGGGTCGGGTTTAGCCAGATGAGGACCACCCGCCTGGACTTGCCGTTAGGGAGGAAATGAGAGGAAGCCTGTGAAAGCACTCAGCAACTGGAGAGTGGTGTGGCAGGGCAGGAACTGCTGTCAATAACACGACTGCCCGTAATGGGCGCCTCTGCACAAGAGGCTCCTGGGATGGGGCGGCTTTTCCCGTAAAGGGCCAGAACGCATATTCTTCTGTTTGTTTTCACAACCCTTTACTAATGTAAACACCGTCTTAGCTCAAAGGTGGCAGGAAAACAGGCTGCGGGTGGGAGTTTGCCGACCCCTGTCCTACAGGACAGTGAGAGCCCAGAGAGGGCAGGTTTGCCTGCTCAAGTCACACAGCTCATTCAGACAGTCAGAAGAGGATCCCAACCTGGACTCTCCCCTCCCCCGTGGGGGCCGACAGCTTGGGCCGCATGCTCCTGGAGCGCATGGGAAGTGTTCTTGGGGATTGTGTCTGTAAGGAGAGCGGAGGACCCCCATCCCTACATGTACTTCTGGGCGATTATGAGGCCCCGAGGAGACCATCTGTCAAAGCGCTTGGAAACACAAAGCCCTCATAACACAGCAGGGGCTCATTGTCCCTGGGGCGACCGTGAACACACCCCTGAGCCCAACGCCATAAAATACCCTGCCCCCGCAAGTGTGAAACCTGGGGCGAATCACTGCACTCGCCCGCCCGGGCTTCCTGGTCCTCGCTTGGAAATGGGGATGGGGGTGCGAGCGTCCCCCCTCCCTGCAGGAAGGTGCAAGAGGTCAATGGGATACGCAGGTGGCCGTGCTCAGCCTTATTACAACGTTCATGGCTCACACCTGCACCGAGCTCGCCCAGCAGGCTCACTTCCGCTGGATGGTACACCCTAGGGCAGGGCTGGCGGTGCGGGAGCAGGGCTTCAGAGCTCAGGGGACAGCCAGGAGGCGAGGGAGCAGGGTCGGGGACCCTTGCACGGGGTTAGGAGGGCCCAGGACCAGCACGGGGGTGCTGAGACACACTCCTGCAGTGCTTTGATTCTAGAGGCTAGGGCCTGGGTGGCATCTGTGTCACCCGCACATCAGGCCTCCTCTCTGGACCACCCTTTTCCTTGGGTGACATCAGCGAGGTGAGGGCTCCAGGTCTGCTCCCCTGCATACTGGGCGAGAAGAACACACAGGCAACTCAGTACCCGGCGGCGGTGGGGGCCCCTCCGGCAGAGGCCCGCGGCCTGGGCCCACTTGAAGAGCCGGGTCATCCCATTGAGGGCCAGCCGCTGCCCTTGACCGGCCGTTACGTCAGCGCGGGGTGGGCGAGAAGCAGGCCTCAGCCCCGGCAGCTCTGAGCTTCCACACGACCTCCCTGTGATCAGCCGGGACTCATCCCACGACACCCGGAGCCTTCTCCCAGGCCCTCGTCTCCACACCCGAACAACCCGGGGGCCCAAACAAGCGGCCCCTCCAGGCGGCCCCGCTGCCTCCCGTCTCGGTAACTCACGCCCTCCCGGGCCCCGCAGGCTCGCCTTGGCCTCCGGAAGCTCCAAGCAGGTCCCTGCCTGAGGCCGGCCCCCTGCACACACTGCCGGCCTCACCGCGGGCTTCGAGAGCCCCGTCCTCCCTCCTGCTCCTTCCCGGAGGGCCCAGCTCACTCCCACCCTCACCCCCCAGTCCGGCCCGTGGCTCTCCCGCCTTCCCCCGTCTCTTTTCAACAGGCATTTCAGCTGTCCCAAGCCCGCCCGCGGCAGACGATCTGCCGCCTCCTGAGTGACTTCTGGGACCTGGTGATGGGCACCCTCTGGCTCTGTGGAACCTCTCCCTCACCCACTGAGCGTCCTCCTTCCCCTCTGCTCTCTTCCCCGCTTCCCAGGGGAGAACAAGCCCTCAGTGCCGCAGCCTCGCGTGTCCTCTGCGCCTCTTACTCTGACTGTGTGACCTGTGTGAGGGCCCCCACCAGCCTCTATGTTCCAGGTGGGGACTGGCCCCGGGCACGAGGGCCCGGGCACTCTGCGGGCCACGGAGAAGCAGCGCACGCACGAGCCCCTGCGTTACACGCAGAGCACCGGCCCACGTCCCGGCCAGCGGGCCTGAAAGCTTAGCCCCCAGCTTGCCGTCTCCCCAGCTGCTGGGGCGGTACCCCCCCAACCGCCTCCGTCTCCCGGGCCTCCACACCTAACTCGCTTTGCCCCGCTGGTTACCCAGGTTAACTTCCACGGGTGTGAACTGCCCAGGGTTCCCTCCGCTACTGATTTCTAATTTCATCCCACTGTGGTTGGAGAAGACTCTCTGATTTCAGTCCTTGAAAATCTATTGAGACCTGTTTTGTGGCCTAACAAATGGTCCACCCTGGAGAACGGTGCGCGTGCCCTGGAGGGGAACGTGTACTCCGCTGGGGGTGGAATGCCCTGTGGATGTGCCAGGCCTGCCTGGTTTAGAGCGCCCTCCGAGTCCTCTGTGTCCTCACGGATCTCGTCTGGATGTTCTACTGATTACTGAAAGGGGCCCCCCGAGGTCTCAAACATCACGACTCAATTGTCTATTTCTCTCTCCAGTTCTGCCAGTTGTTGCTTTGTGTATTTTGGGGCTTTTTAAATGACACTTTCTTATCTCTGCCAACAACACCCTAAACCTCTCAGGGACCTGGGTCTCCTTAAGAATTTGACAGGTGCTATGGAGCCTCTCCCCAGAAACGTACCCAGACCAGGGGCGGAGGCCTCGGGGGACTTCGGGGAGCCCTCGGCGGCCTCCTGCAGCACCGGGGCCCCCGGGTCTGTCCCGCACTGCCCCTCCCTGCCGTCATGCTCCAGCCTCGCTGTCTCCTTCCGGTTTTCTGAACACGCCAACGCTGTTCCCGCCCCAGTGTTCCTTCTGCACGTGCTCGTGCACGTGTCCCTCGGCCTGGGAGGCTCTTCCTGCGGGTCCCTTCACCGTGGCCCCCGCGAGGCCTGCCCGACCACCTCCACGGTGAGCCCGAGCTCACACGCTCTCCACCGCCTGCAAACGGAGCAGCTCATCTCCACTCCCCGCTCCAGCCTCCCTCGGGCCTCTGCCCAGTGGTGTGCATCATCCGAAACGATCTGACGTGTCTGTCTGTTGTCTGTCTCCCGTTACGATGAGGCCCTACCCTGTCTGTTCTGCTCATGGCTCAGACAGCCAACACCCAGGACGCTGTGCACACAAGACACTCAGCAAGTTATTTACCGCACGAATGGAGGCCGCGTCTTCCGCTATAGCCCCTTTGGTGACCTGGAGAAGCAAGGGTGCCTGGCCAGACTCCTAGACCCCTGACTCCAGAAGACCCTCAAATCCACGCCCCAAGTCTCTTCTAAGAACCATCCCACAGGCATACGGTGGGCCTCCTGGTCCTGGAAAGGCTGGGAGGCTAAGGCCTGGGAAGGACAACACAGGAAGATTCCCCTGCTGGGAGAATCTTCCAGAAGCTGCTGGAACCTCCTGTGAGGTCAGAAACAGCTGACTCAGAAGCAGTTAGGAAACTGGCGCCAGCAACTCTCAATAGGAACTAGTGCAAGGAAGCAGGAAGACAGAATGTAAAATGCAGTCATTTCTGCTTGCCTTTGGCTGTGCTGACTCTTCTAGAAATCCCCAACAGCTGCCCATGTGTGGAGCAGCCTGGCCTCCCGGCCCTGCTGGAGACGGTCAGAGCTTGCTGTCTGGCTGCCTCGTGCCATCTTCCCCCAAAGCAGGAAGAGGTCCGGGGTGCAGCACCTCCCCTTCGGGCCGGCCCCAGGCCCGGCCCCACACAAGGCCACTGCCAGCCCTACACACACCTTCCCTGGACACGGCAGCCCGGTGGCGGGACCTCTTGTGTCAAAGCAGTCCGGGGGCCACCCCTCACCCCACCAAGGGAGCAGCTCCTCAGGGGTCAGTTGAGAACAGTGCCTGGGACACACACGGAAATCAGGCTGGCAGCTCCGACCCCTTGGACCCCAGAAGTCTGCAGCCCAGAGCTCAGCAGCCAGCGCTGCAGGGCCTCGCGTGGGGGGGATCCTAGGAGCAGGCTTTCGGATCTGTGCTGTCTGGAGGGGAGCGAGGACAGAGCGGGTGTGGAAGCCCCGTTTCCTCTGCCACCTCTTCCCACACTAGAATCCACCTCTGCGAGGACCAGGGCAGCAGGGTGACAGCCAGGGC